ATTAATTAGGCATGGTAGTGTGTGCCTGTAGTTTCAGCTACTTGGAAGGCTGAGGTAGAGTGATCACCTAAGCCCAGAAGGTTAAGGCTGTGGTGGCCATGAGTGTGCCACTGCACTCCAGCCTGAATGACAGAGTGAGACTCCTGCTCAAAAAAAGAAAGAAATATCTTACGTGGATTACTAAACTACTTGATTTTCTGGATGGAAATCTCATTTGTTCCCTGCCCAAACTCTCCCCATGACCCTATCTTCAGTAAAACCTACTAAGTGAGGGTAGGGTAAGGATATATGTAGGACTCTCAGTTGATTCTCAAGTCTCTTCTTTCTTAATTATTGTTTTTGCAAAGGTAAAGGTCTCACTATGTTGTTAAGGCTGGTCTCAAAACCCCTGGCCTCGAGCAATCCTCTAGCCTCACCCTCCCAAAGTGCTAGGATTACAGGCGTGAACTACTATGTCTAGTATGATTCTGAAATGTTAAGAAGGAAGCTGGGCGCGGTGGCTCACACCTATAAATTCCAGCACTTTGGGAGGCAAAGTGAGAAGACTGACTGAGCTCGCAGGTTCAAGACCAGCCTGGGCAACTTGGCAAGACCTCATCTCTACAATAAATCAAAAAATTAGCCAGGCATGGTGGCGCATGCCTGTAGTTCCAGCTACCTGGAAGCTGCGGCAGAAGGATCGCCTGAACCCGGCAGATTGAGGCTGCGGTGGCCGGGAGCGTACCACTGCCCTCCAGCCTGGGTGACAGAGTAAGACTTCCACTCAACACTACATCACAAAAATTAGTTGGGTAAGGTAGTGTGCGCCTGTAGTTCAGCTACTTGGAAGGTTGAGGCGGAAGAATCGCCTGATCCCAGAAGGTCAAGGCTGCGGTGGCCGTGAGCATGCCACTGAACTCCAGCCTAGGTGACAGAGTGAGACTCCAACTCAAAAAAAAAAAAAAAAAAAGAATAAGGTTTTTCTTACATTGGTAATTTAAGGTATGTATATAACTGCATGTCATACAAAACTATTTCAGGTGGCAGTTAAGCCTGTTAGAAACCTGAGAGGGTATATTTATTGTCACTGAAATTATGGTGGGAGGGAGAACCAGAATGTGCAAGTCCTTTGTTAGATTTTCTTCTATTGCTAGGGCAAACTAAGCCTGAAGTATAATTTTAGAACTGCTGATACCTAACGCCAATGATGATCTGGGTGTTTCCCTTGTTTGTGGGCCCCTTGACATCCTGATTGCAGTATTGGTGGGAATCTAAGAGGAAATTGGGGATGTTTTTATTGCCAACTTCCCCTTTCCCTCCAGACTGGGAAACTACAAAGGGACAAAGGTTCTACAACAAATGAATTCCAAGGAAAGAGAAAAGGAGATGGAGAAACATATGAACTGAAAAAGATTTGAGACATCTATCAATCACAACGTATATGGGCTTTATTTGAAAACTGATTTAAACTGGAAAAAAAAAAGTCTGAAAGACAACAGACAAAATTGAACATTGACTAGATTTAAGTTTAGATGTAATAGTGGTATTACTTTTTTTTTTTGAGTTGGAGTCTCACTCTGTCGCCCAGACTGGTGTGCAGTGGCCGCTCCCGGCCACCGCAGCCTCAACCTGCTGGGCTCCGGCGATCCTTCCACCTCAGCCTTCCAAGTAGCTGGAACTACAGGCACGCGCTACCACGCTCGGTTAATTTTTGATTTATTGTAGAGATGAGGTCTTGCCAAGTTGCCCAGGCGGGTCTCGAACCCGCGGGCTCAGGCAATCCACTCACCTCAGCCTCCCAAAGGCGCGGGATTACAGGCTGAGCCACCGAGCCCGGCTGGTATTACTTTTTTTAAAGTGCTTACATTTTAGAAATACACATGGAAATATTTAAGGATAAAATGATATGTCTAGGATTTGCTTCAAAATAACAGAAGGGTAGAAGGAATCAATGTACAAATTAAGCAAAATTGGCGTAAGCGTATAACTGTGGAAGTTGGGTAATAAGTACATGGGTATTTATTTCACTATTCTACTCTTCCACATAATTGCAGTTTTCAGCAACAAAAAGATTTGGGTTTTTTTATTTTAAGAATGGTTTTCTAAAATTCAGTCCTTCTCTCATTCTTGGTTCTTCTTTCTACTAGCCCCTTGAAATCAAAGCCTCTGGCCCCATGCAACAAAAAATAACTTTGTCAGTTGCAGTGGAGTGTACCTATAGTCCCAGCTACTCAGGAGGCTGGCTTAAGCCCAGGAGTTCAAGGCCGCAGCATGTCTTAATCAGTGCCCGTGAACAATCAGTACACTCCAGCCTGGGTGACAGAGTGAGACACCATCTCTTTAACAAAAGAAAAAGTTATCCTTCTTCTCAGAAGTTGAGTCTTCCATTAAACTTAAATAGAATTTTTTTATAAATAGAATTTTTTTCTAGCTCTTTCACTTAATTTTTTTTTTTTTTTTTT